GAGGCAGGGCCAGCCCCGGGTGGGACTGCCTGGCTTCAGGCCTTGCTTTAGCCCCCCCGGGCATGTGCCCGGTTTGACCCGGCCACTAAAATTGCTTCCCCCCACCCCGGAATTGGGTCTCTGGGTTTGCTGGTGTTGGGTTCTCGGTGAGGCTCCCGTGCTTTCTTACGGTTCAGGTGTCTTGAGTATCAAGGCGATTGGTGGGTGTTTAGTTGTTAAAAATGCCGGCTGGGAAATGGCCTCGCAAAAGTCTTTTCAGTCGCTCCTTCTGTTGGAAACTGCACTCATAGGAAGCCAGATCTCTGGAAAATACGGAAATATTTAGCTGCCTGGTGCTGTGGACTGTGGTAGTATCTCTGAGGAACCCTGGGCTGCTGAGCTTCAGCTCAAGCCTCCTTGCTTACCTTGAAGCAGCACGACTTGGCTGCAGTGATCCCAGGTGAGGAGTCGGATGGGCTTGTTTGCAGGGTGAATGGATGTTGTGGAGCACAGGCCTAGCATTTCCAACAGGCTCTGCTGCATCTCATGATTTGAGTCTTAAGAATACTCTTCACCTTTTGATGAAGGTGAGTTCCCCGAGATCCCAACATGTAGATCTTTCCCAGATAATTGTATAGAGCCTTTCTATTTCAAGGTGCTCATAAACAAAGGATAATTAGGCAGATACATGCGGCCTGAGGAACATTGTTACCAGCTGTGTATTCACATTATTTTATTGCAAGTAGAAGATTTCACCTTTACTGCAGAAGGAGAGGCCCTGCAGGTGCCATTGCAGAGGTTCTAGATGAGCAGCATAGAAATGATAGGTCTGGGGATGCTGTCAAAGTGGAGGGGATGAGTTGACCACATGGGACTGAGTAGAAAGGAGCTGAGTTGCTTAGGATTTTAACTCTGGTCAGAGGAACCTGTGGTTTGAGACAGGAATGGAGGAAGTGAAAGAAGGGATTGATGTGGTAGGTGAGTAAACAACTTGAGAATCTTTGAGAAGGCTGAGAGGGACTTCTGAGAGCTGGCTGTTGCAGTAGCTGGGGACAGACTATAGCAAGAGCCAGGCTGTGTAGGAGGCTTGTGTACGGGGCAAGAGCTGGCTTCTAGAGGTGCCAAAGAGGGAGTGCTAGCAGCTTTTAATACAACTTAAATGAGCAGGACAAGGAAGTGGCAGGAATTAAGAGCAGTCTGAAGTGACATTGATGTTGTTACTTGTGGCAAGAAAAGCCACCAGCAGAATGGGAACTTGGCCTTGGCCTTGTCAACTTAGTCACATATTTGTAAGCATCCAGGCTGGGAGCATTGTAGGAGGATGTGAAGGTACTGCTGAAGTGCTCAGGGTTTTTTTTGTGATTGCTGCCCTGTTAGGGGTCAGCAGGAGGTGGGTTTGGTTCACCTCTTTCCCCACGTGCACCACTGAAGATTGACACAGAGCTGTCTAGCCGTGCTGCAGCAAGCTGTTCCTTGGGTTGAGGATTTTTCTGGTGCTCCTTCAGCCACTGCTGACAACTCCCCGTGTTGAATGCAGGGTCCTCCTACCTTTGGAACTTACTGTATAAACTCAAAGTTACATCTTTTGAAATAAGAAAATGGGACTGAGTGAGCAGCTGTCTGGAGTTATAACTTCACTCTTCCTTTTCTTCCAGATACCTTCTTGAACAGCGAGACGTGGAAATTAATGTCCGTGATAAATGGGACAGTACACCTCTGTGAGTCCTGCAGCCTGGAGCCTGCTGGGTGGGAGGGGATGCTTTTCAGAGCTCTTTTCCTCTCTCTACATCATCATCTCAGATTCTGCTTTTGGGGAGGCTTGGCTGCATTTTTCTGCTTTTCTTCTCTGTGGAGGCTGTGTTAAATATGTCTTTGTTTCCCATTCTGACTGACATTTGTTGTAGTAATGCTCAGAAGGGTGATTAATTTTGTGACCAAATTACCTGGACTAAGCAGTCTTATTTTGGCCTGATCAGGCTTTTCCTAAGCTTTTTAATGGCATTTGAGCATGGGTTTTTGCACGAAGGTTTGGCTTGAGGAAATGCAGAATCTCTGGCAGGGCTGTGAGCATGAAGTAGGTAGTGAGGAGTCCCCATGCTGGTGCTTGGAGGGTGATGTGAACTTTTTACCTCCCCACGTCCCAACTCCATAGTGCCTTCAGACATCTGTGTTATATGTAGAGTACCAAATAACTTTGCAATGTAAAGACAGATTGACACTTGTCAGCTGGATTGCAGTTTAGGGATTTTTCCTAGCTTTTAGGACAATTTGAGGGTCTTGTGAAAAAGAATCATGAAGGGCTTAGATGGTGAAAGTGAAGCTCATCCTCAGTAGGACTTCGAGGGGTGGATCTGCTGTACATCCAATGTGGGTACTGTGCCTGTGTTACCACAGTGTGCAGCAGTCTGATTGGCAACAGGAGGAGCAAAGAGTGTTTTTCAGATTTCAGTGGAATTGCTGACTGCCAATGAAACCAGCTCCATTAAAATGAGGATAGATTTGGCAGCTGGTGGTGCAACAAAAGATACAGAACCCAGATTGGGACCTTGAGATCTCCTTGCAGGACAGCAGTACCTAGGAGTGCTGGGAACAGATCCTGCTTAGTCTACTGCTGAGTTTAGACTTCTATGCTATTACAGCAGCAATTCCTCACTCCTGTAATCTTCTGAGCTTATTATGCATAGCTCAGTGCTGAGGTTAGCATGCTGTGGTGTACCCAGACACTGAATTTTTCTTCTTACTGTATCTTTAATTTTATTTCTCTTCTTCTTGTCAGGTATTATGCTTGCCTCTGTGGACATGAGGAGCTTGTACGCTATCTCCTAGCCAATGGTGAGCAAATGTATGGTGGTTATGGGTGCAGTACATTTCTGCATACTGGTCTGTAGGAGTTGTGTATCCTTCTAGCTGTCCCTGTGGAAACTAATTCACTTACAACCAACCATCTGATGAGCAATGTCAGGCTGCAGTGGGAGCCCTGAACACACTCTTATAGTCCTTTTTGCAGACCATTTGCTGCAGGGAAGTGTTCTGTGATGACTTGAGACTTTCTAAGGTCACAGATGATGTTTTGCAAAGGTGCATTGCTGTTGGGAGTATACTGATGTAAGAATTGTACCTAGCTGTGAAAAACTTTCTTGTACTCTTCTGGGATAGCCTTGCAAAAATTTTAAACAGGACTTAAAGCTGAAAAGCAAGGGCTTTCACTGACCCCAAACAAAGCAAGACAAAGTCTCCAGGCCAAGTGCCTGCCCATTTGGTTCCCAGCACACAAATTGCCATTGGTAGTGATGATTGTTCTGTGTTCTGGCAGAGGAATCAGAGTGCAGAGTCACATCTTTAAAGGTTTGTCTCTTCCACTGCATTCAGAGCATCTTAATCAGCCACTTCTGTAATTCTAAAATAAGAAAATCCCAATTTCTAGCAGACTCTCAACTGAAGAGGCATCTCTTAGGAGGAGCTGTTTCAAGTCTAATGAGTGATCGTACTCTTTGTACAGTGAGATTCTTCTTCCCAGGGCACTGCTGGAACCATGCTGAGATGCCTATTGCCAGGGTCACTTTAAATGAGTCATGACTTAAGAAGGGATTTTGCTGTGGGAGAGCAGCTTTAGGTTAGGCACATGCAAGGGGAGCTTAGCGGTTGTAGTATACTCATTAGCATAGGGGATCGAAGTACAACACGTCACCAGCCAAGTCTTACTCATTTAGTGACTGTTCTGGCACACTTCAGAAAGATGTAACTGCCTGCTGGCATCTACTTGTAATCGTTTTGCAGGAGCAAAATGTGAGGCAAACACTTTTGATGGGGAGCGTTGTTTGTACGGAGCTCTGAGCGACGCCATCCGCCGCCTGCTGAAGGAGTACAAGCAGATCACAGCCAAGTGCATGAAGAGAGACTACTACGATGTCTTCCTTCAGAGGTGAGCAGCTGAGGCAGCTCCACGTGCAGTGTGTTCTGTCTGCCAGCCTGTCTTAGTTGTTAAGCCGGATATTCAACTTCTCTGTCAAAGGCAGATTTGAAAGGCAACTGATTAGTAGCCTGTCTCATTCCTCACTTGTAGAGCTTCCTTCCCCTGTACTCTAAGGGATGACTTCCAGGTATGTGTGTGTTTAAAATACAGCCTCCAGTGACTTAGATACAGACTCTAAAGCCAACGGAAAGCTGGTCTTTCTAATGCAGAAGCATTAGACTGTCATCCTTGACTGTCAAACCAAGATCAGATTGCTAAAACTGTGTCAGCAATTCAGGGTAATATGTCATCTGAAGTTAAGTTTCAGGCCTGAATTGCCCTAGCCCACGAGCTGAGGTTTCCAGCAGTGATGACAGGTGTCTCATTTCTGAGACAGAGCATCTTAAGAAGTCTCAAACTGACTTATATGGACAACGTTCAGTTCTTTGTTCATTAAAATGTGTTATATCTTAAGGTGTTCCTCAGAGTTGCCTGTCACATCTCCTAGTCTTAGCCTAGAGCTATAGAAGATGGCTAACTTGGTCTAGGAGTAGAGGAATAGTATCATTCTTTTCTTTTGGCTGTTTTTCTGCCCCGGTAGTTTTCATATTATTATACAGACTTGGGTTCGTTTTTACTTTTCCTTCCCATTGGACTGACTTTAAAAAAACAAAAATAAACACAAACAAGGTTGCAGCAACTGTGTCTTCGAAATTGGAGAACACAAAAGTCCTAGGAAGATCTGACAATCTTCCTGTTACTATTTAGTCCTAGTTTCTGAAGCTGTGGAGAAAGAGGGAGAGAACAAAACTCAGTTAACTGAGTAAAATCAGATTGTGCCTTCCAGGGAAGTAGGATTTAGCAGGCTGATTTATCACTCCCGGGGTGAGTTTGTGGCTCAGTTGATACAGGGTTGAGTGCACGTGAAAAAAAAAAAGTGCTCTTTCCAGGCTTTGTGTTAAAACTGAAATAAAGGGCAACAGTGGAGGGCAAAACCCAAGCACCTGTCTTGTCTAAAACAACACAGAAGCACTAGCAGGAAGGATATTCTAGTGGCAGGAGACTGAAATCAGCATTCAAGGTGCTGCTCTGACATAATCTTTTTGTGTGACCCTACATGTTTCTGTGTACCAGTCCTGCTCTCTAGAAGGAGTGTGATGCCTGATGTCTGCCTGATTTAACCTTTTGGAGATGTTTGTGAGGATAAATATGCAAGGGGTGGTGGGCATTGGGAAACGCTGTTGATAGTTGCTGTAAACTCTACAAGTAGCAGTCTTGGCTTTTTTCCTTTTAAAGATGAAGGTGTGGACATGCAATCGTAAGACTTCATCTCTGATGTGGCAATTGCCTGCATTTCATGCCTGTAACATCCTTCCTTCTCCTGAAGTGGGTGACATCAAGTCCTCTTGTATTTACTGCATGGTTAAAGCAGGCACACTGACAGTGCTCAGAAAGCAGGAAGGTTGCACCTTACTTTGTGGTGTGGTGGTTCTTTTTGAAAGTGTGTGTTTCTGTAGGGTTTTTTTGTCATCTGACAATTTAAAAGCAGGATTAACCTTTAGAGGTGTGTTTGGGGACAACTAGCTCCTCTTTAAAAATCTGTTCCATGTGTTCAGAGATTCACCTGAGGGCAGGAAGGTTTCATTCTCAAGCCTTCCTCATACACTAACAAAACCTTTGAGTCATTGGAGAGAGTGAGAGATCCCAGTCTAGTATGTGAAATACAAGCTGCCCTGTGCTGGCCACTTACCTGGGCAGTGAGAGGCTGCAGTATCCAGAGGGATTTCATTTAGACCTAATCGTGCCATGTTCCCCACTAGCTTTATTCCATTCTCTCCTTTCTCATTCTGCAATGAATTTTCCCTGTTTCTGTTCCTCACAGGCTGCTGGAGCAGGGTTACCAAAGTGACATTGTTTTCATTGTTCATGGCAAATCCTTCTGTGCCCACCGCTGCATTCTCAGCGCTCGCAGCGCCTACTTTGCTGAAATGTTTGAGACCAAATGGAAGGGGAAGAACATGATAGTACTGAAGCATCCACTGGTGAGCAAGGCTGTGCTTCCAGCATTTTCCTTTCTTTGACTGTTTCAGCTGGGTGAGAGGAGTAGGAAGGACAGTTTGAGGGTTAACTTCCACGTGAATAGGCCCAGAGCTCAGAATGACCCTAGTCAAGGAGAGGTGCTTGTGGAGACACTTAATGCAATAAAATAGCATCTTATTCAGATAACAAAAGGCTATAAAATGTGTATTTCCCCTTTGTTCCCCGTTATGGGCTCAAACTTCATTAATTGCAGTAGCAGGTAGCTGTTACCATCTGCCAGCTGCGTCATGGCTCCTCTGTGGGATGAGTTGTCTGTCTAATTCCTGGTGGACAGGTGGTCTGTAGTGAAGACATCATCTCCACAATTGGCACTAATTGAGTCCCTTTTGTTACCTTTGCAGCAAAAACTAAATAGGCCATAAGTGCATTCCATCCATTAATCACCAATACGCTGGCATATGTTTCTTTAGCTTCATTGTGGCTGTGCAAAACCTCTCCTAACAAACATACTTCCAGTTTCTCAGGACATTACTTAATGTCTCTCCTTTCTCTTTGTACAAGAACATGTATTTCCTCTCAAATTAAGTAGAGTTGAAAATGTTTGTGACCAATGAAAGACTGGATTTTACAGACCCTGTATTATAAGTCTTTGGAGTACCTCCGTTAGTCAGGTCCTCTCCCCCTAGGTACATGGATTAGTAGCAGTTGATACCCTTAAAGAACTGTGTAAACCAGGTGGAATGGCAGCAAGGAACTAGGGAACTAGGTGCAGTGTCTGAGGTGCTATTTAAGTGGTTTTTTTTTTACTTGTTCAGGATCATGATTGTATCCAGGTATTCAAGTTTGTTATTAAGTTCCTAGGAATTCTAAAAGTAACTTTCTCATGTTTTATTTTAGATTAACCCAGCAGCCTTTGGCTCTCTTCTACAGTATCTGTACACAGGTAAATGACTTGCTGTCTAAGGGATGTACACATGGCTGGTGGGCAGCTGGCTGTGCCTCTGCCACAGCACTGCTTGGGCAGCACAGGCTTGCAGACAGCCATGTTTGGGTGCAGGAGTCTCCAACACATCCTCTCTGCTGGCAGAAAAGGAGCATGTGAGCAATCCTCAGCTCATCCAAGTTGTTTGTACCCTTTGCCAGTTGTTATCCTGCCAATAACTATACAGTCAATTAAAAAACAAGAATCGGCTGAAGTTGATTGGTGAATGGATGTGGAGAATGTGTTTTTAACTTAAGTTAATCTGTCATCTGGGATAACAATCCCCTAACATGGTGAAAAGCCAAATTCACATATAGGACATTTTTAGTCTGACAGACCTGAACAGTGTGTGCTGAGTGACTTGACTACTTTCTAATATTTTTTCTGAATAGAAGTTGAGCCTAAACCTCTGAAAATGCCAAATGTTTTATTGAATACATTGTAAGTGCTGAACTATTTCAGGCCAGGAGGGGGTGCCAGAAAATAACTTCATCTTCACGGCTCACCTTCCTCTGGTCCCTGTTTTCAGAAATGTACACTGCCATGTTTTCAGTGATTGTAAAACATTTTGGGATGACAGCTTGTGAGCCTAAAGGCTTTTCTTACTTGAAACCAGGTAGCCAATGGCAGTCATGTAAACTGCTGTTGTGCTGCTATTTTTGATTTTCTGAGGGAATTAGACATCTTTTGAATGAGCCTGCTCAATCTTCAGCCTCTTAAATGAAACTGTTAGGCTAGACACTGGAAAGTGGGGATGTGAGTTAGATGCCAAACTGGCATTCATTGAAGAAATAGGGTACCAACTTACCTTCTTGGACTGAGTTGTATCTGGATGATGAAAAGTGTATAATTACTGAACTTGTGCCATTAAGTCTTCAGTCCTTAACTTTTCCCATTTTTACACCTATGAGATACGGGTTAAAAGAGCTGGCTGCATTTCTGCTTGGCAGGTCGTCTTGATATTGATGTAGAATATGTAAATGATTGCAAGAGGTTGGCCAAGCAGTGTCGGCTGCAGGACCTCATAGATGATTTGGAGACCAAATGTAAAAAAGTCTATGAATTTGGTAAGTATTCTACTTGCTGTTTCCTGCACTGTGCCTGTCTGTCTTTGCGGAGAGAAAAAAGGAAGTGTGATGGTGGATATTTTGTGGTGTTATTGGGGCTTCCAGAAAATGTCTCTGTTGTGGAATTCCCATGTTTGCATGAGTTTTCATTTGTGGGATCTCTGTAGGCCAGCTGTAGTGCTGTTGGATATATGCATGGTTATCATTTATGTTGAATTTTTCATTATAGCAGAGCAGCCAGGGGAACAGGACTTAGCTGTGGTTGCCAGACATTCAGTGGAGCACCGTGGGGTATATTATGAAGTGCCCTTCAGCACAGGGACTTGTTTAAATCCCTGGGGAGATGTGATACATGCAATTAAAAGTCCTTTTCTGCATTTATCTGACCCCTAACCAAAGCTAAACGTTGATAATTGGCTCAAAATTAATGCAGAGAGAGGTACAACACTTTTTTAAGGGCAGAGAAGTGTTCTGAAAGCAAGTGTGTGTTTGTTACACATGTATGTGCCAAACCTTAAATGACGCAGCCCCTTGTTTAAGGGTGTTTTGTTACCCAGAGAACGTGTGATCTAATCATGACATCATCTTATTGCATGAAAACCAACAGTTGGAGTTTATAATTCATCTCCTTAGTTCAAGCTAAAGGACACATGAGGAAGAATCAAAACAGCACCAGTGGAGCAAAGCAGTGTTAGTCATTAAGTAAAAAAAATACCTGGTAACAAAACCTTCAGGCTGGTAACATCTGATTCTTATTTCATGCTCAGAGCTAACTTCTTTACTTCACTCTAGTAAATTTTGGTTTGAGAAGAGAATCTAGTATAGAATCATAGAATCTTAGGGGTTGGAAGGGACCTCGAAAGATCATCTAGTCCAACCCCCCTGCCAGAGCAGGGTCACCTAGAGTACATCACACAGGAACGCATCCAGGTGGGTTTTGAATGTCTCCAGTGAAGGAGACTCCACAACCTCCCTGGGCAGCCTGTTCCAGTGCTCTGTCACTCTCACAGTAAAAAATGTTTTTTGGATATTCACCTTGAACCTCCTATGCTCCAATTTGCACCCATTACCCCTTGTCCTATCACTGGTCATCACTGAGAAAAGCCTAACTCCATCTCCCTGACACTCACCCCTTACATATTTGTAAACATTAATGAGGTCACCCCTCAGTCTCCTTTTCTCCAAGCTGAAGAGACCCAGCTCCCTCAGCCTTTCCTCATAAGGGAGATGTTCCACTCCCTTCATCATCTTTGTAGCTCTGCACTGGACTCTTTCAAGCAGTTCTCTGTCCTTCTTGAACTGTGGGGCCCAGAACTGGACACAATACTCCAGATGCGGCCTCACCAAGGCAGAATAGAGGGGGAGGAGAACCTCTCTTGACCGACTAACCACACCTTTTCTAATGCACCCTAGAAGTTGCAGGGCTTAGCAGGTAGAGCCAGTACTTTTGGCTCAAGAAACTCCTCATCTGCAAGTCACAGAAGGTCTTAGGTTTGTCTCCCCATAAGCCCATGCAGTTGTTTGGTGGTGGTGAGGTACAAGGTTACCATGGTAGAGCTGTTCTTATGTAGACGAGGGTAGAAGTCCTTCTATCATGAATGCTGTAGCACAGGTCTTACCTCAGCCATGTAAGCATGCATCTGAAGAGAGGAGAAGTGCATTTCTTTGTTTCTTGCTGCAAGAAATGTAAGATACCAGTTTGTTAATAAGTGGTGGAAAAGGGCAGTGGTGGTGAATATCGTAACCAGAAAATAAATACTACCCAGACAATCGGGTAACAGAATTATCTTGTGGCGTCATTTGATATCAGAGTAATCCAGTGAGATGCTGGAGATCTTTCCCCTTGTGCTGTTTTGTTCTTTTTTTACTTGCAGGGTCTAGCTGAGACCCTGGAGGTGACCATTCCACCTTCATACATCAAGTTAAAATATTAGATTGTGGGAGCAAACTAAAGTGGATAGTTTGCTAGCTGTTTGAAGCCATTGCATAGCATGTAATGGACAACTTTAAGGATCCTGAAGTCCAGTGGTTAAATTAATGAACTGCAAAATGCTGACTTCTTGCTGGGGTTCGAAAATGGAAAGTGGTGAAACAATGTTTCAGGTTGGTTGGGACTTTCAAATGGAAGCTTTACGTGGAAACATGATGATACAAACTTCCTGGGTGGCACCAGACAAATAATCTAGTTCCTGTGTTTCTTGGGAGGGAACAGTTGTTCTTAATTTCTAAGGCCTAAAAGAAGACATTAATCAATGGATAGTATAAAGTACTGATGGAAGTAGTAAGCTTGATTTTATTTATTATGGGTTGGATTTAACTGAAGAGATAGAACTGCTGGCAGATCACTTAGAAGTTTGTTTCTCCTATCAGATCTTCTGGGGAAGCCAGGAAAAACTTGATTCTCTAGGAAATAATACACATAAGAATTACAGAAGTTAAAAATTGGGGAAGATTTTATATCTTATCGTGTCTGGCACTTGACAAAGCATTGGTGCTCCTTCTAGTGCTTTAGGTATCTGCTTGTTCAAATGCTTCCTGTGGAACAGAAAGCTGATTCGGGACTGCAGAGCAGGGTTATGTCTTGCATCTATATTCTAAGTTGAAACGCACCTGTATAAAACAACGTGAATTTAAGCCTGTGCAGCTCCAGTGGATAATTGCAGTCTCTGCAATCTTATTATCTAGAGTTAAGCAGCATTTCAAAAGCACTTAGCATGCACAGACAGTAGTTTAGGAAAACCTTGAAGAGGGTGACCCAGTGCCTTGTGTTGCACCTGAGACAGACTTCAGTGTGAATGCTTGCATGTTGTTCCCCACGTGTATTTTGTGGCTATAACAAGAAAAAACTGTTGTGGTGTTTGAAAGGGCTTGGATTTTGTCCTGATTAAGCCATAACCCTTCCTCTAGAAGTGGAGGTATTTGAAAATAAGTATTCTGCAGTTATTTCTACAAGTTTTAGGGCAAAGGGATAAAGAGCAACATTTGTAATGCTTGCCTTTGTAGTAGAGGCCCCAAATGTACAGAATATAACTATAGCTGGTTGTGGCTTTGAGAGGAGGGTGTATAAGGCAGCTATCAGAGTGTGGCATAATTCTGGAAAGGTTTGGGAGTTGGTGGGGTTTTTTGTGGCTTTTATTTTTTTGTGGTGTGTTGGCTCAGTTGAAACAAAAAACTACAAAGAAGTATTGAGCAGTGGAAACAAAGACAGCTAATGAATTGGTGAGTGATGTTCAGTGCTATACAGCTGGGCTAGATTGGAAAGGAAGACAAAATCCTCCATTCTTAACCATAGTGAAGTTATTTGCTCCAGGTCCTTGCATTGTTTATCTTGCTCTTTTCAGAAAACCCTTCATTCCTATTTTTTGCAGGAAGGTGATGGTCCCTGCTGCTTGCTTGCACCAAACAATTTATTCCTGTTCTGTCACTTTGATTTTTCTTGTTTCTGTTAGGAGAGAGTTGCTTCTGATACCAAATGCTGTGCTCTTGGATTTCAGAGATGCAGTGTCTGAAATGTCTCATGATAGATGTGCTCTTAGACACATCATTCTTCTTTCACTATGTCACGATGAAATTGCACAGGTAGTTTGTAGATCCCAAGAGAAGAACTCTTTC